ATATATATCAGTTAATCTGGATTGTGCTACAGGGCAGCAACAGTGAACAGGGTAGTAAAATATATCAAACCAATATGGCCCTCACTGGTTGCTAAATTTAAATACCTCTTTGCTGCTTAATCTCTCAATAGCCTTGAACCACATTCCTTATTTAAAAGAACGTTTCAGACACCCACCCATTCAGCCTAAACTGATCGAAACTATATGTGCACTTGGAACATAAGTGTTGATTGTAATATGACAAACCTATTTCTAAAGCATCCGGTTCACAGAATAATGGAACAGAGAAGGGCCCAGCAGGCCACACTATCCCAGAATGTGGGTTGCGGGTGTCAGAAGAGGAGCTCCTGGTGGCAGGACCAGCCCCTGAGAGCCGCAGCAGCAGGGCAGCGGTGAGTTCCAGCCCGGACCTAGCTAGCTCCTTAATCAGATGAATAGTTTCAGAGAGGGCCTAGTTTCCAAAAACCTTCAGGTAAGGTTCATTTAATCAAAGACCACTTTCTCTGACCCAGAACACAGCCTGGGGTTTTGCAAAATCCATACCCCATATCCCTAATTGTGAAGGCCAGGAATATTAATGAGTCCGTATATCAAATGGCAGTTTTGTATTCCCCTCTTAATATGTTAAAAAATGCTTCTGCATATCATGTTGGTGAGTGGAAGCCAATGACACACATAATTTTATCCATTGGCTAACTGTAGCATAAGAGGATTCACTTTTGGTGAAGAATGCTACTTTTTTCTCTCCCTTAATTAACAAAACAATTACATAATCCTCGTGAACCCATCAAACTCTTATAGTGTGCAAATATTTGCTTTTCTTCAGTTTTTGGTTTTTATGAAAGAGATGCTTGAAACCTTTGTTCAGTGTTTATGGGCTGAAAATTTGGACAGATATACTAGTTTTCCTATAAAATAATCAGATTGAACTCCCTTTTTTAAGTGCAAAACAAAATGTAACATTAGTGATGGTGTTACATTGGCTCTGTCATAATAAGAGCTGATTACTGATCCTTTCTAAAAACGATCTTTTGCATTGCTTCTGTGTAGCATTCATGAAAATAATTTCACAATTCAAAGTCTAAACTGCATACAAGTTAATGCTTGAGTTACTTTGCTCCAATGTGAAAATCCCATTTTAGTGACCAAATACGTAAACAAAATATTCATATTAAAACAGGTTGGTTAGAATCTTATCTTTTTATAATTTGGTGGGGATTTTCCTTAACAAATCAGCTTCTGCTGTTGAGTTAGGGTGATTGAAGCACAGAACTTACACTCAAGGTAGGTTTTCTTTTTCTGTCTGATGCTAGGTAAATCACTTTATATTCCTGAGCCTCAGTTCCCTCATCTTTAGGATTGGAATGTACTTGTCGATTTTGAAGGGATGAAGCGAGGTTAAATTTATCTCTTTGGATGGCAGGCAAACACTATACAAGTTCAAAATATGACTATTAAAAGCTGATTTCGTGCTTATAGCGTCAATTCTTTGATATGGTAAAATGATGTTACAGAATCTGAATTTTTGCCTTAAATGCAATTCATACTGCTGGTGAGATGATACTGGATGCCACTCAATTTTCCAGGGCTCATATTAAAAAAATGGACATGCTTGAGATGAAATACCATTGTGGGACATTTCAGATCTATATTAAGGACTGTTCATCTATAGAACTGCGGAGATAAAGGAAGAAGGAGGCACACGTCAGGACCCCAATGGGGCCCCGGGTGATCACTACTTCCCACCACCCAACACAGATGTAATGAGGTTGAGCAGCGTCCGTATAAGAGAAAACTAAGACTACTAATTATTCCTCAAAAAAGGTTTTTAATGACTTACGGCTATAAATGCAACACATACAGAATAAGAAAAGGAGAAATAGAGACCAGCATTGAATAAGGATTAATAGAAATGGCAAGTTATATTGCAAACAAGCACAAGTACAGGTAATATTATGCATCAATTACTTACTACTATAACGCATAGTATTAGCATGAATATAAATGGCAGGTGATACTGAAGGCAGAGACAAGTACATGCAAATCTACTGTTACTTATTTACTACTTATTGCATGTACTGTTCCCGCCACCAGTGAACACAAACATAAGTAAAACTATTATATCAGCAACTTATAACTTCTATTAAGATTTTACTACTATTTATAATACTGCAGCATTGACATGACTTGAGATCAAATTATCCTGACACTATCATTTGTAATACAGAAGTGCCAACACAACCTGAGATCAAATTAGCTCGAGCAACCCAGACTTCTTTACTTTACTTTATACTGCATGCAACCAAACTTTTTTAGTTCAAAACCTTACCCTGCCGAAAATACGTTATCCTTTAGTCGACCACTCTTTGCACTGGCCAGGTACGGATAGTGGGTGTGATTCAGGTTTCCTCGGTTCAGGGGGTGTGGGTCTGACCAATCAAAGAGAACGACCTCTTAGACCAAGACACACACACAAACCCACCTGAGGCTTCACACATCTTATCTCGTCTACCCACCATATTTTGAAGCAGGTCAACAAATCAGGTTAGGCCAAATGTTTACTGTGGTAGTTGTCGTTATTTTGAAACTATGATCTATGCACAGGTGCAAGCTCATATTTTCCGAATACAGCCAATTGTCTTAATTGTGGTTAATGTGTCAGACACACAACATTTGAAAACAGCCCAAAGAAGTACTTGGCTGCTTTACACCTTGACTACAGGTCCACATTAAAAATATTTGAATCAGTCTAAAGAAGCGCTTGGTTGCTTTACACCTTGACCACAAGTCCGTATCTAATTTTGCAAAGCCTGCTTTTTGCAGCTGACCACACGTCTACAATATTTCCTAGTTCGAATTTGCTACACTTGCTCTGGTTGGTGTGCTTGGCCTCTGAGGCTTCCGGAAGTTTTAGGCCTAACATTGAATAAACTTGACAATACTTTTGCTTGATAAGACTTTATCACAGTAATCACAAGAACCTTTTTGGCATATGATATAGTCAAGAGCCAAAACACTCATCTTATTTTTGATGGGCGACACTCATTTCCACTTTCCTAGAAACGCGAAATGTTTCAGCAGAATTTATGAAATAGCTTAGTAGGAGCTTTGTGAAAGTACGAAAATAAATAATTTAAAATCATCACTGCAGGGATAATTGAAAGTCCTTTAAAGCAGCCGTGCAAAGGACTCTCTTAAAATCCGGGTTTGTGCTTTTTTTGTTGGCTGCTATATGGATGTATGAAAGGCTAGAGGGGTTAAAAACCGAACAATATTAAAACCGTGCTCAGAAGCAAAATATCAGGAACATCAAGTCATATCTTCTTGAGGTTTTTTTTTTGGAGGTGTTGTCATATATATGTTGGTTGAGAGCATTTTAATTGACAAGATGGGACTGTTGAAAATTCAGCACAGAGATTCTTCCAACCTACAGCTTGATCATCCT